AGCCCTGCCCGGCCCTGCCGATGCCCGGCCGGAGCCTGGAGCCGAGCCCGGGATCGGGACACCTGGCCGAGGAGGATGGTTTTAAGTGTGATTTGGCATCCGCAAGGGAAATTTCACTTCGGGGTGTTAAAACTGACTTTTCTGCTCCAAGAAGTCTGGTGATGCTGTCGGTGAGACGGGGATGGGGAGAGGGCTGGGGAGCAGCATCTCTGTGTCCCCAGAGATTATCTCAGGTGACCACGCTGGAAAACGAACCTGGTTCCCATCCCACTGTACCCAGCACACGCACTAGGTGCTCCTCTCTCCCTTCTGTTGTCGTCCAGAGGAGGTCCCCAGAAATCCTTGCAATCCTTGTGCTTCTCTCAGAAGCACTGGACAGTGTGAGATAGTGGGAAACATGATTAGAAAACATGAGAGAGTCCCAAGCCTGAAAATTAATCTTTGCTCAGAGGCATCCTGGTATAAGACTACCAGAAGCCATGTACACCCCCAGGAGACCTGCCCCTCTGACCAGGGAGTTACACACCAGATCAGCCTTTTTGCAGATTTTCCATTCTCTTTCCTGCCTTTCCCTCTCCTCAAGTTTATTTAGTAGAGTTGTGGATTAAAGAGAGATGTTTCATGGTGCTGGTCAGCATAGGCTCCTCAGGGTAAGTGGGAGAAAAGGACAATCACCCAGGTGACAAGGGACAGCTGTAATGTGCCCAAGCTACCTCTGCTGAGTAGCCACTTTCCCCCTGCTCTCTAGGGAATAATGCAGGTTTCCTTACATATTGGCTGGCTGTCAGGAAAACAGGCGAGTCCCATGGCGGGTCTGGATAGCTGAAACACAGCTCTGGGTTGGGGGCTGAGCAGGAGTGAGGCTTGTGCAGGGCTCAGCTGCAGGGGACCCACTCCTGCTGGGGCTTTTCAACCAAGTGTGATCCTATCATGTGCTGCCATGCTCTGTATGACATTACAGCTTCTTTCATACACATTTCAGGGAGGACTTCTAGGACTTAAGCCAGGCCTTGACAAGAGACAGTGCAATCTTCATGGACTCCAGGCCCAGATTTTGTTCAGGTGCAAAAAAATCTCCAGCTTCACCAACTTCTGGTGCATTTCCTGAAGTTTCAGCAATGACACTCAGATGATGGGGCAGGGAAAGAGAAGTCAGTGAGGATGTACTGCCCAAGTGTTGGATCCCACGTAGGTTTTGCAGGCTGCCGTGGTGCTTGGGTTGCCTGGAAGTGTGTTTGCACTCGATCTGCAGAGACAGGCCATGAAATACTTCCCTTCTGCCTCATCTGTCTGAGCTGCTCCTGTGCTTTGCCAAATCCCCTCTGCTGTGTCAGGCTGACATTGTGCCTGGGTGTCCCTGCTGAAAATGTAATTCCATGAAGAACTGTGTAGTGCTTCTTTCTGCCAGATGAAGTTTCCTTCTGATCCCATCACTTCATGGCAGTTTTATTCCTCAGTACATTAAAGAAAGTCTCATGGTGATGTGACTGTGTAATTTTCCTTTTTTATTTCTTGCAGCTTTTATTTAAATTATTTTTGAGCTCATGGCCCAATGAACTATTTTGGCAGCACAATTTATGAGCTATATTCTCATATAAAATTAATTGAACCCTGCAGATTTTAAATGTATCAAACTGGTTGCATTGAATAAATGCACTCTATTGGAAAGACAGATATTAGTAATGAAATTGACATACAGGCTTGGAGCTCCTCTCAAATTTTGGAAGTTTTGGCTACCGTAGGTCAAATGTTCAGTCCTGTGATAAAAAGAAGTTCTGTGTTTGTGTTCAGCATCAATAATCAGCAAAGAACTTGTAAATTCCTTCTTTTTAAAGGGAAAATTATAAAATATTTAGAGGTTGGGCTTTTTTGATATAAACTGTACCTGAAGAAATACATATCACAAAGTGCTCAGCATTAGGAAAGCATTTAATCGAGCTATTATAAACCATATTTATTTGAAAGCTGGCTGGTTCCTCTTTCCCTGAGAGCCCCTTGGAAGCACTGATTCCTCCCTCTGTGCTGCAAACATTCCCTCTGCAAGGAAGGAGATTTCTCTCAAGCAGAAATGCGTTGGGGTGTGAAACAGTGCTGGGTAACAGCTGAGCCCATTGGCAAGGCAGGGGAGCAGCAGAAGGCAGGGGCAATTTTCAGGGCAGTCTTCTTGCCTGCAGCCCGTGGAGAAGTGTGGCCATGTGAGCTGTACTGTGGGATCTGGTGCTGGAGGCCATGGGGTACAGCCCCATCAACAAGGGACTACAGAGAGAATCACTTGGCTTCAAGGAATCATAAAATCAGTTTGGCAGGGAGAGATCATCAGGCCAACCATTAGCCCCATACTGCCAAGTCTGCCACTAAACCATGCCCATAAGAACCACATCTACGTGTCTTTTAAATATCTCCAAGATGGTGACTCCAGC